TCGAATCGCCATGATGGATGTGATTTATAAATTTGAACCTTTTTTCTTGCAAAAAATGCCTCTGTCTCAGCTTCCTGACTCCACAGGACCTAAAAACATTATTAGATTATCTAGCCACTGAAAGAAAAAAATATTTATTTCAAAAAAAAATCTTTTTATGAAAAGTTTAACTGTTTTATTTTCTTATTGACCTTCTCTACTGGCCTTCTGCTCTAGAGAGCCCGAAGATATAAACTCTATGAAATCATTGCACTCTTAAGAATTTCTTTGGGGTATTATATTGCGGTCATGATAAACTTTAGATAATATGCGTCTCCGAAAGTTATTCTTAGTCACTTTCTGCAGAGATGAGCCGCTAAGATGGATCTGAAGCGTGCTTCTCCATTACATCAACTTCTTTCAGCAGTCTGCCTCTTAAACCAATCAGCGATCAATACTATCGTCGTCACATTACCACTAATGCTATCAGCAGTTTACCATAGGGAGTGATTATCTGACAGACATGAGACCCACTGGGATGCAGAAACCTTGCAACTGCAGAGAGGATCCAGACACATCAGAGGTCTGAAATATCACCATCCACTACTGCTACCAAACTAAGATACTCTGTCCACAGAGAGAAGCTGCTTTGGCTCCTGATTCCTGTTTGCCATCCGACTCGACTCTGAAGGCATATGGGAATTAACAGGAGAAACATTCCCCATTAAGCAGCAGCTGGTTTCCTGTCAGAGCAGAGGTAAAAGACGAGCGAGGTTTGAAGTCCAGCGTTTCCCAGAATAGCGGCAGACATGACAGCATGCATGCACCCTCTGAAGGCCAGGGTCGCTCCGGTTTTCATGCATCCATCCGGAACAGGTTGAGGATTCAAAGAGAGTAAAAGCAGAACAGAAACAGATGAAGGAGAATAACAGGGATAGAACTTGAAATTAAAATCTCTGATATGAGGTGAAAAATGACATAGATGCTTTCAAAAACTAGCTTAGACGTATTTCAGTCATTTTCTCTGAAAGGTGACCTTCATTCTGAGGGAAACAAATTCAAGCTGTGAAACATTCTTGTAAAACAACCATGTCCTAAAAAATGAAATATAAACAGAAAAATCAACCTAATAGAAGCATTTTTGTTTAAAGACACAATGAAGAAAATCACAACCTGCAGAGCACATGTCAAACTCGAGGCCACCGGCCCAAAAGCAGCAAGTCACGGCAAGTTATTCGGCTCTCAAAAACCAAAAAGGACATATTATGTACTACAGCAGATATGTGTTCTCTTTTAAACCGTAAATAATGAGAGTACGCTTATAAAACCAGTGTGTTCTCTGTTAATACAATAATGAAATAAAGGTTTCATTGAATCAGTACATCTGCAACCTTTCCTTTTAAAGACCTGAGGATCACAGAGGTGCCCGGAATGGCAGCCTAGTGGTTAGAGCATAAAGCTTGGAATCCTGAGGTTGCGAGTTTGAAACCCTCTCCCACAGACTGCCACTCTGGCTCCCTGAGCAAAGACCACACTGCTCCCCGGGTACCGCAAATGGCAGCCCACTGTTACGCAAGGGGAGGGGGAAAAAAGAATAAAAGACAACTGAAACTCCTGCTGTAGATGATGTCATTCTAGGATCACATCAACTGGATTTATACAGTTGAAAAAATATTTGTTCTGCAGCAGTTTTTTTTTTGGCTGGATGCTGCAAAGACAATCCACGTTCTGGCTGATTTCCTTTTAGTGAGGAAACTCTTCACTCCTTAGTGAACAGATGAAGTTAGTGTCTACTGCATGCATGTCAGCAGGGCTGCTGTCCTTCATATTTTTAGCATGTTCCTCCTTTTTATTAATCTTGTTCAAGTAAAGTATGAGCAAACATCTACATCAAGAGACAACATCCATGCCCAGATTTTGTAAAATAAATACAGGTCAGCCAGATTAGATGGAGATTCTAAACAGAATTTATGTCTGGACTTTAACCGTTCTAACACATCAGGCTGTGGGTTCAGATCCCCTCACACAATAATACTGCCACTACCGAGTATCACCACATGGACGGCGTGCTCAGGGGGAGGAGTAGTGCTAGTTCTTCTCCCCTGTCAGCCAAGACGTTCCTTTTTGCTCATGTTTGAACCATTTCTGCCATTAGTAACTTTGGCAGAGTGGAGGTTTTAGGGATGTTCCTTTGGCAATGCAGTGTAGGTGTAACTGAAAACAGAGAGAAAACAATAACAAACCAAAACCACATGTTCAAACAGAACATGTTCTGCAGAACGGCTGATTAAGTTTCCCTCTGAGACAAAGAGGAATCACAGAAAGTAGACAATCCCAGTTCCCAGCTCAGGAGCAAGCATTGTTATAAAGAGACATGATGAGTAATCATGTTCCGCAAAGACAGAGTAGGAACCAAAGCATTAGTTCCACTTCCAACCTGAGAACAATCACAGGTACATAACAGTTAAAACCGGGTCAGCATCCAGCAGAAAGACATAGAGGCTTGAGGTGAGGTTCTGAACCAGTCTAAAATGTATGAACACACTGAATTATAGATCCTATTTATAAATGTTAGTAATGTAATAATGATGCTTTAAACTGCAAAGCATCATTCTACCTTTGGTTTGCTATAACAAAGAAACATTTTAAACTGCTCTACACACCCATGGGTTTGTTAATATGCATTATGATATTATATTGAAAGTTTATATCTAAATCAACCAACAGAAAGTCTGCAGAGAGATTAAAAGGTGTTTAAATCCAATTTGATGCATAAAATGTTTAAAAAGAATAAGGTTTTCTCAGAGATAGTCTTTCCTCTTTCAGAAGAAACTATAACAAGCTGCCGCTTAGCTTGCCTAGCAGCATGGAGGTCGTCTGCTTTTAGAGCTAACTTTTAGAAATGAATGAAAACCTGTGTAAACTTAAATCATGATGCAGGAATCCATATTTCAGGTAAACCTGTTGCAGGCGTCTTATTTTACGTTCATGCTTCAACTTCTCTGATGCACCTTATTGCTCCTCAGATCTTTCTTTCTGTGTGAATGCCAAACTTAAAAAGCTGAACTTTGCACACATCCTTGAATCCTGCTTGGTCTGGATGGGCGTCTCTTAAAGAGACACCTGTACAGCTTCAGTCAAACACACATTAAAAACCCGGCTGTCACGGTTCAGAGAGCTGGTTTGGATCTCAGGTCAATCAGTGATGTCTGCTGCTGAAGCAGTCTGAACACGTAAACCCAGTTAAAATATCTAGACAAACGGTCAGTTTGGATCCTTTCATGTAAACCCTTAAATTTCCTTCCTCTAAATATCTACTTTTCCCCCTTTTTGGGGGTTTCAATAAGACCCCGCTGGATAAAACAAGCATAAAAGCCTAAACATACTCTCCTCTTCCTAATTTCTATTCCTTTTAAGGATGAAAAAAGGGAAGATGAGAAGCTCTGCTGTCTTCTGTTAAAGTGACCCATTTGTTAAATTTCCTCAGAGAGCCCAGCGGGTCCCTGCAGGGTTGATCCAGTCTTCCAAAGCCACTTCCATCAAACACACTAAAATCTATTAAATTCACTGAGCTTCACAACCGGCAGATGTCTTTATGTTTTAATAAAGTTCCTAAAACAGGCAGACCAGACGCAGAAACAGAAATATGTTTAAAGAGCAAAAACAAGCAAACTGAGACAGTTAAAGATGTCCTAAACATCCTCCAGTGTTCATGCACATGCGATGATTCACAATGATAAATGTCAAGGAAAAACACACACAGGTGGTGCAAAAATCTGCTGTTTAAGATGAATGTTTGACTAATTCCTGGATTGTTCTTATTTTAAATAGTTTAATTATTGTTTTTAAAAGTCACAAAAAATGGTGAGTGAGCACCTGTATAGTTTTGCATAAAAGAAAACATCCAATCTGCAATCTAATGGGATTTTATTTCATCTGTCAATATAAAAGTTTACCAACAGCTTCAGTTTTTAAGGCATTTGGTTTCATTTCTGTAGTTGTATTATTATAGCTTATTTGTTGACTGTCTTACTATTTTCTTATTCAAAATATAATTTTATTTAAATGTTAAGAATTATTTGATATAGTCTTTATATTCATTACATTTGCTTGTTTTTTTTAACATTACTGGTTTTGATTTAAAGATTACTTATTTCTTATCTTATCTTAGAACAGGATATAGAAAAAAAATTTAAATTAAAACATATTCATTTTGTTGTAGTAGATAATTATACAGTTTTTAAATTGTGTATTTTTCTATATTTTCAGTACTTTTAAAAATAAAATTGGCGTCTTGATTGTATTGCAAGTATTCAAAATGTTTTACAGTGTACTGATATTTTGATTATATTATTTAAAAAAAACATTTTTTGTTTTATATTTGCTTTTATCTTTTAACAAATATTGCTTTAATTATTTTTGCTGTTAAAATACGAATAAATAAATACATAATGAAAACATTTACTTTGTTTTTCACTCTTTAATCTGAAGGATTATGGGTTTTTGGTTACATTTGCATTTCCTTCTACTACTTTTAATATTTGCTTTAAACCACCTGGACAACTTTATTGATAAGGAAGTTACTGTCAGGTTATTAAACAACTTTTTAAAACCAATTTCTAGGATAGATAATGGATCAGTGCATTCAGTGAAACAAAGCAGACAGGTGACCTTGGCAGACACTATGGTTATTACTGCTAATCTAATCTATTATATCACCTTCAGTTAACATTTTATGAGTCTACCTGCTGAGGATTAAGTAAAGACCAGTACTTCAGCCTCTAGGGGCCCATGGTGGGACCCCGACCCTGGAACCCCTTGCATTTGTCTCTGTGTCCATCACAGACAACAGGTATCCCACAGTCCTTGAACGCACCACTAGAGTTATAACTTAAGCCATGGCGGCGTTGGCACAATTGGCTCAATAAACACAACAGTTTCAGTCACGAACACCCTTCATTCAGCATGCCCGCTCAGACACCCACGGAACACGGTCACAGCCCCACGGCCACGCAGCTTACCGGCTGGCATTGTGGAGCTAAAGCACCGCAGACTGTTCCAGCCGAGCCCCGTCAGTTAGCCTCCATGTAGCTTCTCCCCCGCCGCTCCGCTTCACCTGCTATCCGGATGCAGAGTCTCTGTTAGCCGCTGACCACCTGTTCAGAGCCGATAAACAGAAATCACCTGACTGACACCCAGACAGACAGCTCCGTTCAGGGCTGAAAGCTGACCGCTGACACACGGAGCTACAGCCCCATTAACAGTCCTCCTCCCCGGGAGGGTTTCACCAAGCTGCCGCTGCAACACGGCGGGGCTTTAACGCACACTTTAGCGGTAAATGGAGCCCAGGGAAGGACGTACCTGTAGGTAAACAGCAGCAGATTAGCTCCCACACAACACCGCTCTGCTTCCTGCTTTAAGGAGACGCAACACGGAAGTGAGACGCAGCGGCGGAGCCAAACAAACCAAAACATATGCGGTCTGAGCAGCCAGAGAGGCGGCCAATTATAGCAGCCTGAGGCAAGGTGTGTCTGCAGAGATATGTTCTCTAAAGAGGGACACGTTCAGCTGCTGTCAATGCAGAGATATGTCCTCTAAAGGGGGACACGTTCAGCTGCTGTCTCAGCAGAGATATGTCCTCTAAAGGGGGACAGATTCAGAATCAGCTACTGTCTCTGCAGAGATGTGTTCTCTAAAGGGGGACACATTGAGATTCAGCTGCTGTCTCTGCAGAGATATGTCCACTAAAGGGGGACACATTGAGATTCAGCTGCTGTCTCAGCAGAGATATGTCCTCCAAAGGGGGACACATTGAGATTCAGCTGCTGTCTCTGCAGAGATATGTCCACTAAAGGGGGACACATTGAGATTCAGCTGTTGTCTCTGCAGAGATATGTCCGCTAAAGGGGGACACATTCAGATTCAGCTGCAGTCTCTGCAGAGATATGTCCTCTAAAGGGGGAAAGATTCATAATCAGCTGTTGTCTCTGCAGAGATATGTCCACTAAAGGGGGACACATTGAGATTCAGCTGTTGTCTCTGCAGAGATATGTCCGCTAAAGGGGGACACATTCAGATTCAGCTGCAGTCTCTGCAGAGATATGTCCTCTAAAGGGGGAAAGATTCATAATCAGCTGTTGTCTCTGCAGAGATATGTCCTCTAAAGGGGGACACATTCAGCTGCTGTCTCTGCAGAGATATGTCCTCTAAAGGGGGACACATTCAGAATCTGATGGCGTCTCTGCAGTGATATGTCCTCTAAAGAGGAACACATTCACATTCCATTATGGCCCCTGTACTTAAAATAAAATACAATATATGTAGGCTATGGCTATTTTACATTGATTAAAGAAAGTGAGATAATTTGCAGAAGGAGTTTAAAATGAAAACAAAAACATTCATTTCCATTATCTTATATCTAGTGCATCTAATCATCTTATTTTAAGAGTAGAAATGCCCACTCCATGGTGATCATCTTGTTTACCTGCTAAAATTTTGAAAAATTAAAGGCCAATGTACTTGTTTTAGCAATGCTTTTCAGTACTTATTTTATATCTTCTTTTCAGTATAACTCTAAATCAACTTCCAATGATGATATTGACTGACAGAAGCAACTGCTACTTATTCTTCAATGGACCAATTTGACAAATTATTTAGATATACAGCCTTAAGCTTCAGATATGATCACAGTTTTTTTCTGTTAGATTGTAGCTCAAATAATAAACTAACTCTTAACCAACTTTTTTTTTGTGTGTGCGTTAAATGTAAAAAAAACAGCCCCCCATCCTGTCCCTCCTCTTTAATTTCTTCTAAAACTCCCAATGGTTATCAGACTGCAGAGGGGTGCGACCAAAACACTCGGCCCAGCCCACGCCTCCAGGAGGAAGACCTGCATCCCAGGCGACAGGTAAACAAAAACATCCAGCAGGGTTCAGTCCTAACCACAGCCCTGTGACGTCATCAAGAAGCCGCCCAGTCTAATAATCCCTGATTGACAGTGGAGATGCAAACGATCATGCTGTAACAACATGGAGGAAGCATTTAAGTTAACTTCTATCTCTACTTTTAAGCTATAAATAGGTACTTCCTTCTAACTTATCTTGTACTTTTCTGACTGTTTATGTCCCCTTCATAAGGGACATAAGGTCTTTATAACTTGTTATAAATGCTAAAGAGCTTTAACTGCAGGCTTTAACATCATCAATAAAATCAACACAAATGACCCACAGATGGTAATTATCCTGAGCTGGTATGAAAACATCTCCCCAGGCTGATGTGTGAATGGATGTGAAAGTGCTCCGTTTGTGCTTTTTAAGCTCTTAAGGACCTCTGCTGCACCGTCCACTGGACTTTAGGCTGATTAAAGGCTTTGGCCCCCACAGATGGCATGCCAAGCGTGTTAAAGTCAAATGAGTGACAGCGGCCGGCGGCGCCTGATGGGGAAAAAAAAACAGTTAAAAAAAGGTTAAGGACATGATGTTAGAGTAATTACTCTAATGCATGAAACATCCACATGTGACTGCTGTGATTTGGGATTAAAAGGAAGCTGGAAGGGGTGTGGCTTATAGGGATGATATAAACCAGTGACAGCAGGCGCATAAAACGGAGGGTCGCACTCAGGTACGCTTTGATCCAACTAAGTCATTAAAGTTTACCTTTTGCAGACTAGAAAGCGTTCCAAAGCTAGACCCCATGTGGCTGTTTGAACTGTTTGAAACGGCTCTTAGAAGCAAGGAAAAATTATAAAGAACCAATGACTTTGAACACATCAACAAATACCAGAAGCTTTAAGAAGCGATTACAAAAAAAAATTCAGCACCAAACAGTACCTGAAATATCATTAGTTTTCAAAATGTGTTTTTTAAGCAAATAATATTCCTGGAAATCACATATTTTAAAACAAATAAAACTTTTGCTGTTTAAAATGCAACAGATTTCCTGTTGCCAAAAATATCTTGTGTTTTATTAAAAATTCATAAAATATTTGGAGAATTAAATTACTTAATTTAACTGGACTTCTATCAAAATGGCTCTTTGTACCTCAGATATTTCGGACCCCTGCTCTAATCAGTTAGATGTGGGCTGAAAACTTCAAAAAGCAGAATCCAGGATCAGATAAACAACCTCAGCAGCCCTGCTCAGAGCTCCTAGTGGAAAATGATCCCGATGCTTGGATCAAGAATCCAGGAAGAATCAAAAACTTCAGCTTCCAGCAGAACACCATCCTCACCCCTACAGCACTGAACTACAGATGGGCCTTTATTGTTTGTGCCTTTATTGTATCATTTAATATTATCGTGATAAGTTGCCTTTTATTATAGAATTTTTGATTTCTTTCTAAACAATAAGTTAGAGTCAGAGGTGAATAAAAACTCCAGAAATTGCCTGAATTGTCTGAATTTTCATTTTTTACTATTTTATTAATTTTCTTTAATTTTTCCCATTGGGGCATTTCTATGAGATGCATAGTGATATAAATCATACGGCTTCATGTAGCTCGTGTCCTGAAGAAACTGATTTTAAATGTGTATATTTACTCAGAGTATTATTTGCGGAGCCGTGATGGCTGTGGTAAGCAGTCACAGCCATAGAGTTAAGAAAGGCTGCAAAAGAAATAGTGTTTTTATTTGTCACTTTTATTACCATGAAAAAAAATCACACAATATTGGGATAAAATTTTAAGTGCATATTGATCAGCCCTATAAGGGACAAAAAATGACAAAAAAAACACATTTTAAAAATTAATACACATAAATAAATTAGTACACATATAATTTAACAATTGAATGAATAAATACATATATTAATGTATGAATATCATGTTTTTGTCATAAAAATGCACATTCTGCTTACTTTTTTCCTTGTATTCCACATATTTATGTATTAAGTTGTGTATTCTATCCAATTTGTGTAATATTGTTGGTTCATTTATTTATTTATTCCCATTTTTATGTCTCTGTATGTTAATGAGGTGTATGGTTCTAACATTTGTCTTCTGAGGATGGGTTAACTGGGAGAATCAGACAATTCATACATGGATGCACATCAGTGAATAGTTTATACAGTATTTGCATGTATTTATTTGTATATTTATTTCTTTATAGAGTTATATTTGTTTTATTTTAAAATAAATTTTTTGTTATCATTTTTCATTCCTCATACAGACCTATGTGGAGACATATAATCATCTGCAGAAATCTAACATTAGATCCTTAGTTTTCCAAACCAGACCCTCTCAGCTCCATGACTCTGCCTTCAGCTGCTGTCCTTAAGCCCCACAGACAGGATCACTGCCTGCTGACATGCCTTTTTCCTCTGCTACACAGACCATATTTCTGCAGCTGCTCCAATGACAAAAACAAAAAATTTAATTGTGCCAAAGGTGATTTTGGTGAGAAAACACAACGTAGAAGTGTATTTTCAAGGTAAATTATCTATAATCTATTTGTTGCCAACATCAAGAAAGTAGTTTTACTGTATTTATTTTCCATTCTCACACCAGTTAAGGTTGTTGTGCCTGAGGCAATGGGTACCTCCTGGACAGATCCGTCACAGTATTTGTTCTGAATGAATTTAATGCATATAAATGTGTCTATCCTGGACAGTGCACCTCACAGGGAGCATATGGACAGCAGGTCCTCCTCTGTGGAAAAGAGGATTAATTTGACCGTCTGTGACATCCTGCCCTCTGCTTGCACACCTGAGCTGTGCTCCACAGACAGCGCTGATTTTAAAAAGGAACAGATGCTTATTTAGCATTTTCTGTCATGTGTAAATGTCAACAGTAATGGCAGCATTTCAAACTGCTGCAAAGCAAGGAGGAGATTCTCATAAGAGCTGACAAAAATAAAAAAGCAAAATGTCTGAGTGGTGAGGAAAAAGTTGATCCCAGCTGTGTTTTCTTATTTCTTTGTATGTTTGTCACACGTCAAGATCTTAGGAAAACAATATGTGTAAATTAACCCCCCAGCCCTCACTGTGAGATTGTCTGTGGAGGGTCTCATGTTCTAAAAAAACAACTACTACAACTACCTCTATTTACAGCCAGATATACTTTTTTTTACTCTCATGAAAACACTTCAACAGGGCCCACCTGACAACAAAAAGCTCGAGCAAAAGATCATCAAAAGCCAAACATCCTGCAGTCCAATGAAATTCAGAACCAAGAGAGAAAAAAAAGTATTTGGCATCTATCACTTCATCTATCATCACAGATCCCATGTTTTCCACTCCACAGATCCCTGCACCGAGCATATCAGCCAATACCCAACGATCAGATGCTGCTGTTGAAGGAATAAACTCTACATCTTGCCATATCAGTAAAATAAAGTTATTAAATGATCAAAGATAAATAATGGACTAATTATTTTTATTAACAGATAAACACTAGCAGCAAAAAGAAATAGATTATACCTAAAAATAAAAGGTAACTAACTAAAAATCATATAAAGTGCACTAAAATAGATATTTGGAAATATAATATAAATAAAATATAGCAGCTGCCTGAAACCTCTCTTATCCCC